CCACCCGCCTCGGCCTCCCAAAGTGCTGGGATTACAGGCTTGAGCCACCGCGCCCGGCCCATCCTTTTTTTAATGTATAACCTTTCCATCTTTTGTGTATTCCAAGAATTTATGATGTAATGTCTATGTTTCTAGCAAAAAAGAACTGAAATCTGTATTTGCAGTTGGTGTCTGAAGCAATTCTAATGTAAAGAAGTTTGGCATTTATTTGGTACTACTAAGTGGCTGAGCAGCAAGGTTGCTATTTCCACTGCGTGGAGATATTCAAAGATGATTTAGAGGCCGGGCGCGGTGGCTCAAGCCTGTAATCCCAGCACTTTGGGAGGCCGAGGTGGGTGGATCACGAGATTAGAAGTTTGAGACCAGCCTGGCCAACATGGCAAAACCCCGACTCTACTAAAAATACAAAATTAGCCGGGCGTGGTGGTGCATGCCTGTAATCCCAGCTATTCGGGAGGCTGAGGCAGAATGGCTTGAACTCGGGAGGCGGAGGTTGCAGTTAGCTGAGATGGTGCCATTGCACTCTAACCTGGGCAACAAGAGCAAGACTCTCTCTAAAAAAAAAAAAGATGATTTAGGAGTCCCAATAATCCTCAGGAACTGAGTATTAGTGGATCATGTGTGTTACTACAATACAAAGCAGAAAACATTAGAAAGGAAGAGCAAATCTATTACTTTGAGTTTCAGATGCAAATAATTTCCAAATTGCCACTGGCCAAAATGCTTTAAACATTCAGGGTTTTGTCACAGTTTCAATATAACCAGGAAGAGGGGGAAGCCCACAGCTCTATTTCTTTGTCTTTCAGACCCCAAGAACTCAGACCGTGGTGGTGACAAACTGGTGACTGGTTCGGAAGAAGCTGGAGGGGGGAGTGCAGGGCAGGAGACTTTACCACAAGTCTCTGGGGGCGTCATCCTTCCTAAGGTCTATGGTGTAAAAACCACCACTCAGAATGGCGGGGTTCATGGACTTTTCACCATGGCCAAACTTTCGATTACCTCTGATGAGCCCCAAAGATCACAGAGTAGCAGACTAGGCCAGGTCCCGCAACAGAAAGGCGCGACGGCTGCAACAACAGTGGTTAAATTGTACAGTCTTTCATAGGCCGGTCTAACGCATCTGGACGAAGATTACTAAGGCTGAGGGTCCCTAAACTGGAGAAAACGAAAAGGCGGCAGGGGGTAGGGAGAAGGGAAGGAAGACAAGGAGGGTGTAGAAAAGGGGGAGGGGAGGGGACGGGACACCACGGGAAAGGCCTCAGGTTTACTGGCGAGATCGTGGCGTTCCCATGGAAACGTATCCCTCCGCCCGTGACCGGCGTGTTAGTCTCTTCAGTTCCTTCCGCGTCGCTTCTCGGCTGTTTCCGCCCAGCTCCTTTGTGCCGCGCAGAACAACGAAATGACGCATGCGCAAAGCCCAGCCGCCGCATATATAAATGCGAACTCGGGCTCTTCCTCGTAGTGCCGTCGGGACCGTTGGCGGGTGAGGGTGTGTGTCAGCTTTTGCGTCGCTCGAGCCTTGGGCGCTGCGAGCTAGAGCCGAGCACGCGGGTCGGTCATCATGTCGCGTTACGGGCGGTACGGAGGAGGTAAGAGGCTGGGGTCCTCTGAGGGACGTTGGTGTGGTGTAGTGAGCACTGCGAGGCCGTAGGGCTGGCGCGGCGGTTGGGAGACGGTTATTCCGCGTGCGTAATGGCGGCTTCGGCGCACGCCATACGAAGCCGGAGGCAGCGGGGGCGGGGTGGTGAAGGGAGACAGGGGATGGCTGGTGTACATCTCTGCCGAGTTCCGTACTCTTGGGCATTTTTGTGGACCAATCCAGCCTGAAGCAGGGTTGAGATCACGGTTTCCGCGATGCCCTTCTTGGAGCCGCCCGCCGGCCCCCTCCCCCCGCCCTCGGCGGCGGCTGCCATTTTGCGCACATTGACGACCGTGGTGGCGCATTTCCTCAGCGCTTTCCCGCCACTTCGGCGGACAGATCTGGCCGCAGCCGTAACTAAGATCGTGGTTGTGTTTGAGACGGAACGAAATTGGCAGCTGTGAGCTGCGTGTTCTCGTCAAACGGTTAAATTGTGGAATGGGAAAGGGAATGTAATCTTTGCGACTTGCGGCTTTTTTTTTTTCCTCTTTTAGTTTTTTCGAGCGCACTTTATGGCTTTGGGGCGGAGAGCTGGAGTCTTGGGCGAGCCTGTGCCTGGGGCGGTTGCCACGGAGGACGAGAGCCTGGGCAGCTCTCCCTGCCCGGCCCTTACCGAGGCCCGCCCGCCGCCGCTACCGCCGCGGGCCCGCGCGCTCCTAGCGCCCCCGGGGCTGCCGGGACTCATGGGCGGGGCGGGGCCGGGGCGGATCCCGCCCCACGCCTCGGTGTACCCTACGACGCATCTCTGTTGGGGACGGTCACCTCTTAGTAGAACGTTAAGAACTTTGTTAAAAAGTCTAGGTTTTCAGGGATTTGCGGACTTCACCGGTTTTAGGACTAAGTTCAATCTTTAATAGAGAGCATTAAATGTGCTTTACCCAATTTTGAAGATGGCCCATTTTAAGGCAAATAATTCATTGAAACTTGGGCCAGATTTTGCATAACGTGCATTCTTCTGTTTGCGTTTTTAAACAGAAACCAAGGTGTATGTTGGTAACCTGGGAACTGGTGCTGGCAAAGGAGAGTTAGAAAGGGCTTTCAGTTATTATGGTCCTTTAAGAACTGTAT